TTTTTTACGAAATATGGGCTCGTAGTCACTATATGCTTGTAGTAGCACATCCATTTCTGTCGGGGAAAAATGCAGACCTATTTTGGCTTGGTCCTGTTGCCATGGTGACTCGTAATGTCCTCACTCCATTGTTCAGGGCTTTTTATAGTCGCGTGGCACGCGCCTAACTCTGAGTCAGACAACTCAGAGTTGATTAAACCAACTCTTTTCAGCTGTTCTGAAACCGAAAACTCCGAGTTTTCCAGCTCTGAGTAAGTCAACCCAGAGTTCAGGTTTGAACTCTGAGTTTGTTGAACCGCCTTCTTGAAATAGGCCCTTGAAGTGAGATTGAACTGAATCATATACACCATATCACACATTAAATAGTATTGAGAAAAAGTGATATTATCCTGTCCCTACTACACAACGCACTGTCTACCACACAAGCATTCAATTCTTCTATAGGCCTGAAATCCACTGGCTAGCTAGCTTAGCTACAGAGCATTTTCCCTGTAGATTTCTTCTTCCATTGCTATTCCAGCAATATAGATTATGTTTTTCCTCAGCAGAGACACCCATCATTTAGGAAAATACTGCAGTGAATCAAGCATGCCTCAACAGTAAGTATAAACAGTATGGTCTCCCTGTCAACAGCATCATTCACCATTTCTAATGCTTTAATCATCACTGTGGGTCTCTCTGCTTGCCCCCACGACGGGGAAAAAAAAAAAAAAAAAAAAAAAAAAAAAAAAAAAAGCCCTCCCTGGTGCATGCCGGTCCTATGCCATCCTAAGTACCTATAAACCTAAGGAGCCCACAGTTCAAACAGTGCCACCCAATTTCTCCAAAATAACAGTTTCAACACTGCTTGTTCTCGAGGTGGGAGGTTCAGATGGTAAATTCAAATTCCTTATTTGATTGATCCCCTGTCCTTAACATGAAAGACTTCTGGGTCAAGTGAGGATCAAAGATGTCCCAAAACACTTATTCCTGCTATGAGGAGCAAGGATCAAGGAGGCAGCTGGAGGAGCCATGGGTGAGCATACATGAGTGCATCCTTTGCACAGTTCTTCTGTGTACGAACATGTAACTTCATCACATATCAGTTGATGGTTGGATGCTTCAGGTGAAGAATTGGAGGAAAGAACATTTCATGTCTCTTACACTAAAATGGGCTTCCATGGCTCCCCTAGTCTTATATCTTTTCCTCACATCTTACTTACAGCACTAAGACACAAGGAAAAAGTGAGTGAAATGATTAATAGACTTAAGATTCACCTAAATTTTTAAATTGGTGCTATACTATACCGGAGAGATAGAGGGTAGTGATCTGGACAACAGAGGACCTCTATGGAAGTACTGTAACTTTGGTACTGCAATCAAAATAAATTTCTTTGCAACTAAAAAAAAAAACCAAACTTCTGGATGTCAACTATAAACTGGTTGAAATTAGATGCATTTTCATTTCAAACAAAAAATATTTAACACTTTTTTCTTTGGTTGCTCATCTATTAGCATTGGTCTCAGTCCACAGGTTGTTTTTTTTTTTATCCACACCAGAAAGTCCAAACCAAGGTTCATGTTTTGGTTAAATTGTAAATGTTTGATCCAGTTTGTTTTGATTCACACTGGAGTTTAGATTACCTCTCTTTGTGAAACGGGTTTAACTTACCCCGCTTCACGGGTTTAAGTTACCTCCGTTTCTGAAACCGAAAACTCCGAGTTTCCCTCATTTCGGGGTTAACAAACTCTGAGTTTCGACAAAACCGCCTTCTTGAAATAGGTCCCAAGTCAAAGTTCAATGACGGCGAGGTATGACTAGTTGTGGAATACTTGTACTTAAGTCCTCTTTTTTTCCCCTTCTTTTTTTGGCAATGGTTTGATTGTGTAAAGCAGGGCTGCCCAATATGTCAATTATGATCGACCGGTTGATCGCAAAGGTAGTGTCGGTAGATCTCGTGTCAATATAATGAGCTTAGTTAATGCTTTCAAATGAAAAATGCAACATTTTGGGGAACTTCCAAAACCTTGCATCAGAGCTGGAGACGCAACGGAAAGCATGTGCGCAGCTTGACATTGTGCGCTACACAAAGCAGATTGACAATTGTTGGTCAGAGTTTGACAAACGTGTGTGAAGACCGGAGGGGAGATTAGACCTGCTGACCGACAGCCTGACTTTCTCTGCAGAGGCCCAAAACTGACAGGTGACTCTGTTTCTCGCCCTCTCAACCATTATCACAAAATACTGTTCAATAAATGATGATTGGCACTGCAGTGATTCTCCCTGTGCATTGATTTTTGCCACGACAGTAGCTCGCAAGGCGAAAAATTGTGGGCACCCCTGGTTTAAAGAATAACCAGATATATTAACTATTGTTATGCTGGCTTATTTACACAAAATATAATGTATGGAGACCACCCAATCACTTGACAAAGCGATACATATTTTTGTATCACGATTATATTAAATTTCAATATATTGTCCCATCCCTAGTAGTTAGCTAGCTTTCTACCTAGACAGCACGCCAAGACATAGATTTCTGTATAGGGTTGCAGAGATCGATCTGCTCACACACTCTTGCCCCATGCTCGTCTATTTCCTACTTTACCAGCCTTTCGCCACCAGCGGCGTGCATCAAGTTATAAAAATTGGGAGGTGTGCGATTAGCCAAAATGACGTCATTGAACACTATGTGCCAGAGGTTGTGATGTCATATTTGGCGCATGCCACTGGGCACATGGGCGTTAACGGTAAGTATAAACTAGGTGTGGGGCAGGATTCCTTTGTTCTTTTGTTCGTAAAAGTAAAGTTAGATTAAAGAACAATTGAATATGGTTAACAAAAGAGGGCCTGGGTACAGTTGCACCATTTGCACTCTTTCACACTTCTCTAATGCAGAGATGCTGCAGAGGCTATGTGCATTGTTCTCTTTTAACGCCTATAACTTAATATCTGCTCTGTGATTGTGAATGACATTTAAGCACTGCTGTATGCAACTTTGTTTCATATGGTGGTGATAGCTGATTAAACTTTTAACTCATTTGCATATTATCAGATTTGTCACTGTTATTTCTCACCAATTATTGTCATTGTTAGTCAGCAGTTCCTGATTTCACATACAGTACATGTCTGATAAGACTTTACTGACCCACAGGGAGGAGAGATTTACATGTCGCAGTAGCACATGACAGGGACTAAAGCGGTACAAAATGGAAAAGGAACTCTGTAATTTCTTTTTTGTTTAATTTTTTTTTCATTAAAAAAAGTTCAAAAGTTTTAAAATGACTGTTTTAC